GCAGGAGGCCAATACAGTGTGCTGCCTTGATCGTTAGAAGGCAGACATGCATAATTGAAGGTGATGGTTTAGCTGGAGGTGGGCTTTTATTCATTCAAATGGGCTTCCTTCCTGGGTTCATGCTTGTCCTATCCATTCTTCTCTTCAACCTGCCAAGTTTCCTCACATTTTCCTTATAAGGAACCAGCCCTTGCTAAAAAAATTCTAAGCATGGAGAGTGAGGATGGGGTTGTTCAGGCTGCTGAGTGCCACTTGTGCTTGCATAGAGAAGCAAGTATTTAGGGTGCCCAGTGTGCATGGCTGTATTAGACAAGATTTGGGTCACTATGGGCAGTATTACTTTTTGGCTTAACCAGGGTTACTTTCTGAACAAACTCCTATATATTACTTAGAACTATACTAAAAATCGCTTCCATTCTTGTGTAGCCTGGAATTAGAAGTGCTCCAAAGCAATCCTTAAGTGTGTTGAAAAGTATTGGAAAGAATTAATTAATATACCACGTTTACTTACATACCACATGCACCTTCCCCAAAAGTTTACTCAATTGGTGTTAATGACTCCTCTCCTTTTAAGTGATATTGATGTTCCACTCATGAAGCTGTTCTTTCCTCCCCAATTTGGTTGTCTTTTAGCTGTTCCTGGTCTATCATTTTCCTATTTTATAACCCTCCAGGCTATTAATAGCTCTCTTCAAAATCCTAGATCTGCCTATGAACTCAAGTCTATCTCAGCAGCTGGAGTTTCAGCTTTTGGCTGACTGGCCAAGAGCTGATGACAATTCAGGTGTGAAAAGGTTAAAACTGTAGCTTTTGTCTAAATAGGAAAGTGATGGTGAGTATGCTGAAGATTAGGATCTGTCCCTGGTATGTGTGTCCATAACTCTAGAATTTTTTTTTAATTTCTTTATTCTGCTTTCCCAAAAAACAAGGTGTGTGTTTTATTTGGGGATCATGTGAAATATGAGTAAAATTAAGTATGTTGTTTCTGGGCTACTTAAATTTTAGGATAATTTTACTGGGTGAATATATATATATTTATATAAACATATGTTATTATTGGAATTATATTTTCCATGCAAACAAATACATTAAAAAAAAATGTCATATTTCAGACTAGCCTGCCTTGCCAGTATCCTAAGAGCAAAGGAATATTGTGCTTTTGGTTTTATGAACTGAACAAATTGTATATAGCGTGGATATGTTATTGCAATTAGTCTCCTTCTCTCTGCAAGTGGCTGTTGCTCTATTAAATGCCTGAAATGTGTGTGACTCAAAAAATGCAGGATATGGCCTGATGATGAGCAAAGTAGCTCTGTTATAGGGGAAAATTTGACACATTTGGCAGAAGACCGTGCATAGATTACTGCAACCCTAATATAAACTCTGGACCTTACTGTGCGTTTTATATGACTTTTGTATGTGCTGAACTTCCAATACCAGTCACACCAGCACACAATGCATCCGGTGCTTCTGAAGTAGAAAAAGAGTTGCATAGAGTGTGC